TGATAGGTTAGGCCTCGTCACGATTGGTCACAAGTTTGTGTTCCACGATGATTAAAATTAAAGTTTGATCAATTAAAAAATTGATAAGATTTTAGCATCATTTTTAAAACAAATATTTAGTACAAATAATACTCATAATATAACCGATAAAAAGTGGAAGTCATTAGCCCTTGTTTGAGTCCCATTTTTTTTCTTCCAAAAATACATTTTGTAATAGTATTATAATGGAGAACGCGTGGTTAAAATAATAAAGAAAAATTTTAAATTTGTGTATAATATTATTTTATTGAGAAATTCGTTGTTGAAATTAGGTCAAATCACGGTTCAAAAATATATTTTAGGCCCTATTTGATTCACATTCTTAAAAAAATACATTCTTTCAATACTCACTTTCAACAACACAATCTTTAATAAAATAATATTACACGCAAATTCAAAATTTTTCCTTCTTTTTTAATCACATATTTTTCATCACATTACTATTTAAAATGCATTATTCCCTCAATAATGTACATATGAAAAAAAAAAAAAAAAAAAGAGACTCAAACAGGAGTCATCCAATGATTTTGTATAAGAAACCCATCAAGCTTCGTCATCGATGAGGTTAAAGTTTGAGTTTAAACTTTAAAGTCAAAGTGAATTAACAGAGTTTGTCCCAATTTGGTTTTGACAAAATGAGATTTATATATATATATATATATTTAGATTCTGATAAAAGTTGATAAAATGTGTAGTTAAAAAGTTGATAAAAATTGAAGGTCCGTGAAATACATTATTGAAAATAAGTTTCAAAAAATGAGTTTTAAGAAATTGAGACTGCATTTGATAGGGCTTCTATTTCTTAATAACTTATTCTAAAAAGGTTCTTCTAATTAAACGAAATACTTTTAAAAAAATATTTAAATATGTTTAATCAGAAGTAATTTTTAACTTTTCAAAAATCTTATTAGACGTTCCCAAACTCTTGAACTTGAAGTCATTGCGGTGCATATCAATATTTGACTGATCAATTCATGGATCCCAAAAATCAAGCGAAGGCAAATCTCTTGATTGATCCAAATTTGCGATCATATTCTTCATATCTCGTAGTCGAAACCATTGAGGTTAAAGATTAGGGTAACTATTCGCTTATGCTAAGGTCCAAAATTATTAAGGAAGAAGATAGTCCAAACTCTTAAAACGTTTTAAACTCTTCAATATTTCACGTACATGCAAGGGCCGCCTTTTAATGTGATGTATATGATAAATAATACTTTCTCTATGTTTTTACACACGATAGTATACCTAGTTAAAAACAAAGTTGCACCAAAATTAGCAAAGCAATGACGTAAGCACATGATAAAGTTAAAAACCATGAAAATTTTCAATTATTTGGATGCTAAAGTATGACTTTAACAACCACCACAAGTTTAACTTATGCAATTATGAAATACGTGATTCTCGAATTTACATTTTAACTTGTATTTTTTCTCAATTGGCATGCATTCAAGTCGACAACGAGTGTCCAAAGTCGCTTAAAGTTGTTTATAGATTCTACACGTATGCTTAGTGCTCAATATTTATAAAATGATAACGAAAATGGGAAACATAACAACACCTTTGAAAATGTTATTTTCAAGAAGATTATGACATGAACTATATATTTTTATAAATTCAGTATTTAATTTTAAAAAATACTGTTTACCATTAACTCAAACTCTAATTACTTGCTAATTTGTTGTAGTATAAGGATTAAAGTGTGATAATTAAGTAAAAGAAAAAGCACCATTTGATGCTAATTAAGCTATTAGCTAACCAATTAAATGTAACAAATAGGATCAAGAATAAGAACTTGTTTGGTAGAGATTTTTGGGGAAAAATTGATTTTTGAATAGTGATGTGATGGGAAATGTGTGGTTGAAAAAGAAGAAAAAATTATTGATGTGATAGAAAATATTATTCTATTGAAGAATGTGTGGTTGAAAATGAAAATAGATTTACTATAGAAAAATTTAATCCCTCCCAAACAAGGTATAAAATTTTTTAAAAGAGCTACCTGCAACTGTGCAGGCAGCTACAGGCTGCAGGTTGCACCTTTCCATAAAAAAATAAAAAATAAAAAAACTAAAAAATTCGAGCCGACTCGCTCGAGCTTTTTTTTTTTT